CCCACTGAAACAGTTTTAAAGATTCAGTGACTTCAGAATAAGCTTCATATGTGCCAAATAGAATTCTATATACTCTGACTTAGCATAACAACCCTATGAAGTAGGTATTGTTACCAAACACATTTCCAGACAAGCAAACTGAGGCACAGAGACTAAGTATCTGATCACACAGGGTACTTCGGTCACAGAGCCAGCAAGAGGCTGAGCTGATTTCTAAACCCAGGCAGTGGAGCTCCCATGTGTCAGAAGCTGGGAAGGCCAGGGATCATCCCCCAAAACTTCTCAGTGGCAAACCTACTTTGTAGCATTTAGGGAGAGACAAACATGTTGCCTGTTTGAAAACCCCCTTTTCTCTGCCTGTGCTAGTACTGTGTATGAACAACGAGAGATGTGTTTGAGGCTGGGGTGTGAGTGGGCTGGAAGCACTTAACACCTTCTCCACTCGCTGTATACACAGGCACTCAGCTCCTTGTCATCCTGGCCCTCTTTCCTGTGTTCTGGAAACCCCAGGCATGGGGCTGGGGAAGGGGGAAATGAGGAAGTGAGGGGGTGATGGATAGGATGTTCAGGTCTGGAACCATGTATCACAACACGGAAGGATTTTTTTTTTTTTTTTTTTTTGCCAACTTCTATTTCTCTCCTTTCTTCTCAGTTCTACTCTTCCCTATCCTAAATGCCACATTGTTATTGTTCTACTGGATAGGAGTAGCATTTTCAGAAATGGGGGATTTATTTTTATAGCACAGCTGGTCTGCCAAAGGTCACATAATTTGGCAACATTCCCAGTGGTTAAAAATTAATTTCTCCTTATTAATACAACCAAGGTCCCAGAGGATTGGAGCTCAGCCTTATCTAAACTTGACAGCTTCCTAAACCTTTAGAAGATGTCTTCTCCTGGAGGGCCAGCTATGATACAAGGCCACTGTGTCCTGGAAGCCAGCTCCACTGAATCCTGTTAGGTAATAAAACCATTAAGCCTTTGGCCATTTCCCATCAAGGCAGATAAAGCCTTGAAAAATACGGTAGGATCTCCAGGACAAACTTCTGCAGCATCTTCCAGAAGTTTGTTAATTAAAAAACAAAAACAAAATGTAGCAAATAGCTAAGTACCAACCTGGAAGGCAACAGTACAAACACTAACTTCTGGTGATCAGTATACTTATCTGCCACTCAAGAAGGGTGCCTCAAAGATTATCCAGTGGCAAATGATGGTCAGATCATAAAATACCTCAAATATGTTAATAATACTACAAGCCATTGCCCAGATGTCGCTTTTCAAGTACTTTCTTGTCAGTTCAAGAAATTAAAAAGGTATTCTGCTTTTGCTCTATCTTTTAAAACAGGAAAATCTCAGCTCAAGTTCCTAAAGTCTTTCCAATCTGGACCTTTGAGAATATATTTGGAAACCTCTTTACTTGGCTCTTGAATTCTGTCAACTCAGAACCGACTCACACTCAGGTCACTCTAAGTCAGTTCATTTTCTTGATTGCTTTAAGAAAGAGTTGAGTGAAATGAAAAACACCAGGGTCCGCAGAATCACCTGGTCCCTGGTGTCTCTCCCCACTGACCCCAGACCCCTCCCTCACTGTTATTTGTATTTGTGCCTCATTGCCTATGTCATTGGGACTCCTAGCTTTTTCTATGCCTGGAAGATAGGAACTGGCCTTTCTGCTGCAGAACGTGGACTTGATACATTCAACAGCAGGGGATCAGAGCCATTTGGGAGACAGCGGGAGTCCTGTCTGGGTAGCCTGGGTTCCAGTCACTGCAGCCTTTCAATCTTTTATTTTGCCAGTTGAGTGCTCTGGGGTTAATGTCTAAGGATTCTTCGGGATGGCATGAAACTCAAAACCTGATGTGCTGCCTGTGCATTCACAATTCTACCAGGCACAGCATGGATGAGTAGGGGCCTGCCCGGAGCCCTGTGGGGAGTGTACCTCTTGCCACTGTCTTGCACTGTGTGCTCTGTTGGCAACTGGCCACAGCTTCCCTACCTCCAGGAGCTGTTCATAGGGGAAAAGTTTACTGGGCACCCATTTAATGTGGGCATGAAACCAATCCCTAGAGCTTAGAGCAGGCCGTCTGTGTAAAATCTAGGAGTTTACAGTTTACTTGCAAAGTATTATGCTCACCGATGGCCATCCCACATTTTGGGGAGACAGGCTAAAAGAAACACTTCAAATCCTTATCCAGCCCAGCTCGTCATTGCTTCTCTTTCAGGATTTGTTTGAACCCAGACCTGTCTCCCACAGCCAATTTACACCTCTTATCTGATCATCCAGTTCAGACCGAAGGGTGAATTGACCGAATCTGCCCGTGTCCATGGCAATGGCATTAAAACTCGAGTATAGATCAAAGCTCTCCTGACAAGGAGGGGAGGGGTAGATGGTTATGGGGTCTGGGTTCTTTTGGCCCCAAGCGATGTGTCCCGGAGGTGGGGACATTAGGACTGGGAGTTGCCACCATTTGAAGAAACTCATTGTCAGGACTTGAATAATTTCCTGAGCAAAACCCAGTCCCCTGCAGATCATGATTAACTCTAGCAAAGGGAAGGTTCGTAGCGGGCGCTGATGGGGAATGGCTAGCGCCAGGGGGCTCTCCTCTCTGTCTGAAACCGAAAGGAAAGGAGGCGGAGGGAGGGGGGCTGAGCAGGGAGCACACGCCAATAAACCAGAGCGTGGATCCCCTACCCTCCCAGAAGAAATTCAACCAGAGCCGCAGAAGCCGCAACGCGTATAGGCGAGATCCCCTAAACTTGGTCTGGAAAGCGAATTCCCGACCTTCCCTAACCCAGATGATTCCCAGAGGGCGACAAGTCCATTCCAAATCCCTCCCCAACCTCCAAACACTAGCGCTACTGGTGCCCCCCCCAACCCCCACCCAGCCGCCAGACGCCTGCGACCGGGTGGGAAAGATCCGCGGCGCAGTCAGCCCGAGGCGAAGGGCGGGGGCAGCCGTTTAATCACAGCACGCCTCGCCTCCATTAACTTGTGTTGATATTAAAAAGAAATCAATCAGTGAAAATGAAGCATCGGCCGTGAATATTTCTTTTTCTCAGGTGGAAAAGCAAAGAGCGAGGCGGCTGAGAAGGGGAGGCGGGAACTCGCCGGCGACTGCAGGCAGAGGCTTTTCCGCAGACCAGAGCTGCAGCCGAGACCTAACTTTCCCGCACTGTGTAGCGTCGAGGAAATGCCGCAGGCTTTTCCCTGGGGGGTGTCCCTAGGAGGAGGAGGGGACAAGCATGAAGTGGTTGGAGGCGGCCAACTTCGCGGAGGCTTCAGCCTCGGTTTTGCTTTCGCTGGGAATATTTTTGCTTAATAGAATGTTTATGGATCGCTGGGCTCTGTTTCTGCTGCGTAGCCCAAACAAATCGATGCGGCGTTAGAGACGGCGCTGGGGGGCGGGGAGGAGGGAGGCCTAGGAGGAGAGCCGAGGGGTTACCACGTCCCCACCACGTGGATAGCTGCGTGCCGCGTGCTCTTCACCTGTTTCTGCGCACCGGCCGGCTCCGGGCGCGCCGCGCTCTAGAGGCTGTGCAAGTTGCGCGCATTCCTGCGGCTCTAGCTGGCTCCTTCCCGCCTCTCTCCGCCCTCCTCTCCGAAATCCCACCCTAGCTTCCTATCACCCAGTTGGGCCAGTGCTTGGATTCCCAAGCCCGCCTGCGTCGGCCTCCCGCCACTCAAAGCAGGCTCTCTAGGAGTCGCGGCAAACCTGCGGCGCAGAGCGGAGCGCTGGGGACTGGCGAGGGAGCCCGGGGCAGAGATGGAGACAGACTAGCGGCTGCGCTGCGGTCTGGCTAGGCGGCGCAGTGAGGAGAGGGGCAGCCTGGTGCGCGTCGCCCATGCGGCCTCCCAGCCACGCACCAGCCCAAGGTGCCCCGCGCCGCGACTGTCGTGTTATTTTCTCAATTGCTCCCCGCGTACACCTTCTGTCCCCTCTTACGCCTTCCCAGAATTGGTTCTTGTCGCCGGTGGCGGCGGCGGCGGCGGAACCGGGCCCCTTCCCGGCTGGCGCACATCGGGTGAGTCAGAGGTCTAGTTCGGCCTCGCCCTGGCCACCCGCTGCCGGCTCCCCGGGTGCAAGTCCGTTGCTCCGCCTGAAAGCCAGAGCAGCCCATGGCTTGCGATCGCATTTTGGGGAGCCGGAGGTTCCCGGGAATTTCCAGCTTCGAATCCCACCCTGAGATACCACCCCGGGTCCGAGGTTGCCCCGAACTCCGCGCCTCTGGGCTTCTCTGGCAGTGACGCAGCACGGCAGAGGGTTGGGATGGGAGGGGGTTCTGCAGAGAGCGCGGGAGGCAGGTGGCAGAGCGGGAGTGGGTCCAAGCGGGTGTCGCGCACACACGTACACACACTCCATGCAGCGCTCGGGGACAGATGTGCGAACATCTGGGGTAGGAGATGGCCCCTGAGTCTTCACGACCCCTCCCGCTCCGCACAGCACACTGAACCTGAAGTTGCATGTGTATGCGCGCTGGTGTGAGTGCCAGTGTGCGCGCGCTCGCGCTCTGGGGCCTACCGGAGTCCGTGTCTGAATACATAATATACCATGGGCATCCTCACGGCGCGCACGCGTGCACACACACACACACACACACACACACAGCGAATCACACAAACATACACAATTTACGCAGCATCCAGGTCTGTGAGAGGTAATTTAATTCCACTTCAAGCCGGGAAGTTAGAATTAAGGCAAGAAGGAATGGGGGAGGCCCAAAAAATCTCCCCAAGTGGGACCACCACCCATCCCTTTGATAGGATTTGCAGCTGCCCTGAAGATCACTTATGGCAAAGAAAGAGCTGAAAACGTGCGGATTTGGGTAGCAAAGGCATTTCTAAATTTTCTTCCCCCTCAAATAAATGCCCGAGCTTAAAGTGGCATGTGTGCTGGGTGGGGGTTGGGGGGGAAGAAGGAAGGGTGACAGTGCCAGATGCAAAGTTAGGACCCACTAGCTGATGTTCTAGGGGATGCCCAGGAGGCTGCAGAGTTAGCCCTACCACTGCCGCCATCGCCTTGCAAGTGGCTTGGGTGAGGCACTTCAGGAAGGCTTTTTCTTCTTTCATTCACCCATTTCCTCCATAGATGGTTTCTCCATCTCCAATCACCTGTAGCAGCTGCGAAGAATTTTGTTGTCAGATTCCAGATATGGTTCTCAGAGGGGGAGAGAGGCTCACTCTATAGAGTGGTCCCGGAAAGGAAGCACTGCATTCCCCATGGAACCAGAGATCCCTTCCCCGAGAGCGTATTTCTTGCCCGATGCCCACAAATGCGGTCCCCAGACTGTTCTGGGCCTCAAAGTGCTTATCTCCACAGCAGCCTGTCCAGACACCCTTTTTGCCAGTGGTTGAGAACAAATTCCTCTCAAAAGTTTCTAACCACTTCACTAGAGTGACAGACTTTCAAGGGCCTGCAATTTGTTTTATCTAATAATAATTTCTAAAAAACGTATGATTTACTTTCTCAGAGAACACATGGATGAAGGGAGAAGGGATGACCAGCTGCCTTGGTTGCCAGCAGCACCCAACCCCAAGACCCTCTCTCAGCCACAAGCCAACTTGCTCCACCAGCCTGAGCCCTAGGATTTTGAGGCATATCCAACCATTCTCCAAAGAATCTACAGCCTCTGAAAACCAAAACTAAACTCTTGTCTTTCCCAAGCCCTTCAGTTAACATTGCTCAATGTAGCTTAGTGGAGGGAATGCAAATGATTTATATTTCACTGGCTAGGTTGGAGAAACTCAAGGGAGATGTGTTCTGCTTCAAGACAGAGAGAAAAAAATCCCCAAAAACTGTAATGCAAAGGCTTTGTAGTATTTTTAAACCTTTGATTCAGTCCATATGTGACATCTGAACACCGCCAAATTCTGTTTCAAAACACACACACAACACACACACACACACAGACACACACACACACACACACAGACACACACTCCTAGTAGGAGAGGAAAGTTGGGTTTTAGCAGCCGTGGTGGTGCAGGGAGGGTCGGCTGGGATCTCTCTTTAAATTATTGAGTACTGAGGGAGCCTCCTTCTGTGCTGTTCTGCGTGGCCTCCCAGCTTTAGCGATGGCTTTTAAAGGGGAAACCATGTTGCAATAAATAAAAAAAAAACTTTCAGTGGCTTACCTGATTGGCCTCTCACTTGGTGTCTTGAAAAGCAGAGGGCTAAGAAAACCCAGGTGAGAGGAAACATATCCATTTTGGAGAAGGTCGCTCTCTCCAGAGCTGGGTTCGTAGGTTTCTTGTTTAAATCTTTGTGTTTTTCTCTCTCTTATTTTCTTCCTTATAACGTCTTATGCAGAGGTTTCTAATGGTGTTTCCCTCCTGAGTCCTGCTGGCTTGTCTTCACCTTTATTCTTGCTGGAATTTCCACCTCACCAGGAAGAGGGAGAGTAGCCACTGAAATCAGCAAAGAGGGAACAAGCCGGGAAAAAGACACGGGTTTCCTCTCAAAAACAAAACCCATGTATGTTCTCTCCAGTTCCTCAAAGTGTCATTTCCTTTATCCTACAATATCACGAGTATTTCCCGAAAGCCAGGCGTAATAATAATGATAATAATAATAATTAAAGCCAAGACTTGCCGTGGGCATCACACGGACCCCAGGCAGCTGTGTGGTCTCAGAGGCGTAAATTGACACACATCCCCCGGTACCCGGGACGGACATGCGGGCGGAGGCAGCCGCCGCCGGACAGCCCGGGTGGGAGGCGGCCGCCTTGCTCTTCTCCTCGCCGGGTTCCCCTAGCGGGAGCCTTCCCCAACGGCTACACCCGCTTGGCCAGCCTCTGGAGGGAAGTCTGAGGAAGGAAGCTGCTGCTGCTGCTGTTGCTGCTGCTGGGGCGGCGGCGGCTGGGATCGCCTGCAAGTGAGCGAGCCCCTCTCCGAGTTCGCTGGCGCCCGCCCTCACCTCCACCTCGCCGAGTGTCTGCGCGGCTGAGGATGTGTCGGGGGTCGGCTGCAGGCTGGTGCCTCGCTCGCGATCTCTGTCTCCCCTCCGGCTCCCCCCTGCCTTTTCAGGCAAAGCAGCATGTGGATGTCAGAGCCACGGCAGAGCTATCCGATTACGCGCCGGTTCAGGGCCCGCCCCTTCTGTGTTCCTGATTAAAGAGGCAGCCGCGGAGACGCGCGGCGCAGAGCCGAGTGCCGCGGCACCCAGCTCGGGCGGGGCGGCGGCGGCTTCTCCCCGGTTGCCGCAAGATCGAAGTTAAGGCGGCGCCCACCCCACCGCCCCTCGCCCACCCCGCATGTCCCGCTAGCCCGGCGCACCTCCGCGCCGGGCAGCCGGTGCGTAACGCCCGGGGGAAGTAGCGCCCCCGGGCACCTCCAGGGAGCTCAGCCCTTGACCGCGTCGCCCCCACCCGAGGGAGACTCCGCGGGAAGCGGGGAATAGCCTTGTTTCCCCTGAATCCCACGATTCCGATGCCACAGACGCAAACGCAGCACAATGCCACGCGCAATGGCATTACAACAGGAGTTGGGTGGCGTACGGTGTTTGGGGTAGCGAGTCGGTCGGCAGCTCAGCCATGCGTTCGAACAGGCAGCGGTGCGTGGCGGCGACACACATCGTCAGCCCGGGCTGAATAAAACCCCAAACACTCCCTGCGTTTACTACTCAGATCCTTTGTTATGTCCCAAACATGCTCTGCCTCTCTCTGGGTTAGGATTTCGTTATCCCTGCGCCTTTAACTTGTAACTATCTGCAAAAAACGAAAGACTTTCTTCAGCAAAGAATTTCTTCAGGTAATTAAATTGGATTCCCTCGCGTTCCCCCGAAAAAGTATAGGTACTTGAAGGCTTCTCACCCAAATACTACTGTAACTACGTCTATTCACATTTTCCCCCATGGAAACGTGGTCACAAAGCCCAGAGAAAGAAAACAGCATTATGCCAACTATTTTTAAATGGAGGCGTGAAAACTGTTTAGAGGGAACTGCAAGCTAACAGTTGGGGAAACACTTGTATCTTTGTTTCTGAGGATGGCTTTGTGGATTCCAAACTGTCTTGCTTCACCAGACACCTATTACTACATTATCATAAAGCCTCCCACAGAAACAGCCCAAATTACACATGTACACCTTTTCTGCCACAAAAGTGGTATGTGAAAAATAAGAAAATTCAGAAAAATGTTTACAAATTAAGAAAGTAAAATTTTCTGTAGATTAAGAAAAATACAGCTTTGATGGCAAGAAACACACACACCTGACTATCCTATTTTCTTCTTGGCTTGCACTTGTGGATTCTTCTGGGTGGTTTCCCTCCTTATCTGGACTTGCCCATTAGCTTTGTATCACTTTTAGTGTTTGAAAAATCTGTAACTCCCACTTAACTGTTATTTACACTGAGATAACCAAAACAAAATTGAATCAGAAGTGATTTGCAAATAGTTGAGCCAAGCTGTGGGGGAGGGGATTTTAGAGTGGAAATCCACAGGCTGCGTATCACACTGTTGATCTTAGATGCCTGGTTGGAAAGGCACAGAACAGAGGCCTCTGAGCTCTTCCAGGAAGCATGTCTCCTGGCTAGCCTAATGCTACCCTTCATTCCCTCTTTGCCTCCCTCCTTCCCCTCCCTCCCTCCTTTTCTTCCTCCCCACTTCTTTCCTTTCTAGGCTTCAGAGCACATCCACATTATTAAAAACTCCAGATTTACATTTCTCTGCTTTAAAGCTCAATTGTAAAGAATGATTCCAAGCCTCAAATATTTAACAAGGTAAAGAGTCAGTTTGGATTATTTACCTTAAGCAGAGATCCCAGTTTATGTCATTGCCAAGATGCTAATCTAAGGACAAATAACACTATTCGTAGTGACAGTCCCTGAATAGAGAGGGTCATTTAGTATCACTTCTCCCCACCACTCACCAGGCATGCCAAACCATTTAGCCAGTGCCCAATGTGGGAGACTCCAGTAGCCAGAGTTTAGGTGAAGGGTACCATGAAAGGGGGAAAGAAGAGAGAAAAAGTAAACTGAAGCCCACTGGAGAACCATAAGAATGACAACCCTGGTCTTGGGTCTCAGGGATGAAGGTCCTCATCAGGCTGTTTCCAGAGTAAAGTCAGAATCGGTTTTGTTCCTGAACCTGTGTGCCCACACTATGACTTCATTTTTCAGAGGTGCCCTACAGGGGAAGCTCGCTGACTTCCTGGGAGTCCTCTGTACCAGAGCTGCAAGACTTCTCACCCCCTTGAGTGAAGGCCTCATTTCCTGCAGTTAGACAAGAGAGTCTCAGGTTGCCAGCCCTGGGGACTCAAGCAGCCAGACTATTTTTTAATCCTTTAGGGGGCAGCACTCAATAAATAATGGTAACCCCACCTAGGGTCACACTTGTGGTGGGGAGTTTCAAAGTGCTTTATCAGACCAGGGAAGATTTGGAGTGAGGCCGATCTCTCCCCAGCCTACTCTGAGCAAGACTCCACCAGCCCAGGGAGGGCTTAGAATTGCTTTAACCTAAGACTTCCAAGGACTCTTGGGAACTAAACACAAGTCCCACATGTGCCACATGGAAAACAAATCTTTAGGGAAATTCTTCACACTGGGGCTGGCTCAGACCTGCCAGTCTTGTTTTCCTCTAGACTGGGATCTCAGAGTTTGACTGCAATTGGTTTGGTTTTGGCCAGAGATACAGTGGTGAAGAGCTAGACAATGTGCTTTTCGGTATTTTGTGAGTCCACACCCCTGTCCCACAGGGAAGCCAGCCTACCTAAAGGCCGGTGTCAAACAATGGGTTTGTGAACAGAAACACTGACCTGACTAGAAAATAGGTAATTAGTGAAGCTAAGAATCCCGGCTACATCACTGACTCACCTAGGATGTTTCATGTCATTATCCTTAATTGTAAAATAATACTAGATAATCTTATCCTACATTCCATTCCTTTGACGGGAAGGGATGTGGGGGAACATGAAACCGGTTGGTAAATGATGCTAAGAGAAAGCTGTTACCAAGCCACACCCCTATGGAAAGTTAAGTGTTCCCAGCTAGACAGTTCCAAACCTTATGGTATATCAGTATCCCCTGGAGCAAGTGTTAAAAATTCACATCCCTGGTAACCATCTTCCTGCAGATCAAATTCCTTGGGTCTGGAGTGGTCTTTGGGAATCTGTATTTTTAACACACATTTTAGGAGATTCTGATGCAAAGCCTTCACGGGCCACTAGTTGGAAACTTCTGATTTGATGTGTTATATTTACACACAGCCTTCCATAAATGCTCACTTGTTGAAGGAAACCTGGACAAGTATTCCTTCACATTTCCTCCCTGGGTACTTTTCAATATGGAGCAGATGTTTCAGGAAAAACCACCAAGAACAAGTTCCCAAAAATACTGGAGAGGTGGAATTCCCAGATTTACCTGTGACCTTTAACAGCAACGGCAGAGAGCCAATTTGAAAACACCAAAAGCTTCACCTCATGCAGGCAGGAGCTTTGCAGGGACACGTTCAAAGTACCGGCTGATGGGTTTCTGAGCTGAAGCCAAGCCCTTTCACCACCAGCTCACTCAACCATTGGTGGTTCCTAGAGGTTCGTTTCAGGTACGGTTTTCCATCTGTGCTCATCCCACTGTACTTGCGACATGCTCATGGATGCATGACTGTGCCAGAGGTATGCGAGCAAGACAGAGATTTAGGTCTTTCCTCTTGGGAACACAGGATCTAAAAGCTCCAGAAGTTTCATGCTTCCACAATAGATACCACTTGTCACATAGTGCTTCCCCTTATTGGAGCCCTAACCTCAATAAGCTCTCACCCTGAAAAGGGGCGATCTGAGGCATAATTGCTTCTTCATCTGTAATTTACCACACTGCCCTAGTTAAGGTTTAGCTACATCTGTCTCAGAAGCAAAGCTTCAGTTAAAATGGAATAGGTCCTAATTTATTATTCTCTCTTTTGTTTGATGTCAAAGTCCAGGTTTCTTGTCACTAAGGTTTTTTTTTTTTTCTTACTTGCCTTTTAAACAATCAACATTTTTTTCCCAGCATACTTGAATATTGTCCTGTAGTTTCTATTTGACATTTCTATTCTAAATTGATATTTCTAGTATATTCTATGTGGTGGGTTTCCAGAATCCTTACAGATTTCCATAAATCCCACTATGTGTGTGTCTCTTCTCTTCCTTAGACGCAAACACTGGATCTGGTAGGAGGGATCCTTATGAGAGAAAATGAGGGGTCCTTATGAGAGAAATGGTAGCAGGGGTCCTGCAGCAACAAAAAGTCCACAATTCATTCAAACCTCCCTGGAATCCTTGGAAAAGGAACCTAAAAAGCCCTCTTGCTTCCTCCGCTCTGCCTGGCTTTAGCACAAGGCTGATCTCCCTATGATACACGAATTTTTCTACCTTAGAGGCATAAGTGTATCAAAAAGACCTCGTCAACTGTCCCATAAAATAGCACTCTCCAATAAATCTTCTGCAAGGATAGTGGTCTCTGTACCGTTCATATGGCTACTGGGCATTGGAAATGTGGCTAGTGTGAATGAGTGACTGAATTGTAGGTTGTATTTAATTTTATTCATTTAAATATAAATTGCCACATGTGCTTACCAGCTACCATGTTGGACAATTCAGCTTCAGAATCAAAAGACCAGAGCTGAATAATTCCCATAGAAACCCACAGAAATTCACACCCTTATAAATCTCTGTGGTTACCCTACTTGTTTGCCAAGAAAGGAACCCCAGTATCAGCAGAAGTGCTGATTGCCAAGGCAGCATTTGAAAATGCTTGCTGTCTGTTTGGCTAAGGAAGAGAAGGGCTAGCCTATATTCATACTATTTTCTACCATCCTGTGTTCTTTCTATGCTCTCTCGGATGACTTTTCCAGAGCATTCACCAGGGGTCAGGGTCTTTATGGTGCTCCTGCGGTTTCTGGCCTCCACTCGTCAGTGGAGACCACTGCAGAGAAGCAGGTGGGGCAGCAAAAACCTTGAGGACAGGGCAGCTGGACCTTCGGTCTCTACTTGGGTGTCCTTGAAAATTCTGTTAACCAATTTGGAACCACTTGCCTCACCTTTAGAATGATGGGTTGATTTGAATGATTT